GCGGCGCGGTGGTGGCGGGCGGATGGGCGCGCGAGAAAGAGGCCCGCGCTGGGGCGAGAACGCCATCCTGAACGACGGAGGCCAAACACCGATCCGAAAATGAGGCCCACGCTGCAGCGGGAGCACGATTCGGAACGATTCGGGAGCAGAAATGAGGCCGGCGCCTCAGCGAGAGCAGCATTTTTGAAAAAAAACACAAGCGAAAACCCAACTCCGGGGAATCCTGTGTAAAAAAACAGTACGCGGGGGGGTGCCGAATATCTTCCGGACGCCATCAGGGGAAGTGGGAGAGTATTTTCATATTGTGTAATTGTGGAGGGGGAGGAGGGGGAGGGGGAGGAGGGGGAGGAGGAGGAGGAGGAGGAGGAGGAGAGAGAGAACGGAACGGCGTCGGGCGGGCGCGGGCAGGCGGGAGGGGGGGGGGGGGGCAGGAGGCACGCGCGCCGCCCGACGACGGCCCCCACACAGACGCCCCGCGGGGGGCTCCCCACAGAGGGCCCCGACCGAGGGCCCCGTCGAGGCAGGCGGCATCGGCTCGGCGTCGAAAAAAGCGGGTCAGGAGACCAAAACGAGACGGCCCAGGAGTGCGGACTCTGCAACGTCTCTGCAGGCCCTCCTGCCGGAGCCCAACATGCAGCCACTGTGGCCCCGGGCAGGCTGCGATGTCCAGCGGAAGGGGACGAGGAGGGGGGAAGCAGGCAAACGACGACGAACGCCCAGGCGGGAGCGCCTTCGGTTGTCATGGGGCGTCTGAGAAGCCGATGTCTCGAGGCCTCCCGAATGGGGTCCGAGTAGATGGAGTAGATGGGGTCGGAGGATCGCGCCGCATCGCCGGTGCATCGGCGATGCATCGGCGATGCATCGGCGATGCATCGCCGCACTCGGCGCGGAGGAATTCTGGCTCCACATCGAGCCGCACTGCCGATGCATCGGCGACGCGGCACGATCCTCCAACCCCATCGTTGGACGCCCGAAATGGGCCTCCTCCTCCTCCTCCTCCTCCTCCTCCTCCTCCTCCTCCTCCTCCTCCTCCCAAAATGGGTACGATGCCCAACTTCAAGTTTTGCCCCAACAACGACAGCGGCCGCTGTTGGGCAGGAGCCCTTCTGTTTCGAATCGACAACGTCTGCGGCGACGCCGACAGCGAGTCCTGTTCAGGATGGAGAGGAACTGCTGTCGGTCTTCGTACCCATTCTTTCCGTACCCATGTATATCGCACCGACCATCTACTCAAACTACTCGGTCCCCATCTGGGAGGCATAGACATGAGGCTTCTGAGCATCGTTTGTCCGACCCCATCGGCGTGGCCCCGGTCCCGCTGGTCGAGTTACTCCCCTAGATGGGGACATAGACAGAGACAGTTTCCTCCAGGGTTCGACGGGTATATCCCCAACTGGGCTGCTGGGATGGTGGGGGCCCGGTTGGGGATGGGGATGGGGATGGGGGTCGGCTGAACGATACTGAGCTTCTGAGGAGCCGATGCCGGATCGGATCGGTCGGGGCGAAGTGGGCCCTGCAGGACGGGGCACGGCACGCGCGCGCGCGGAAAGGGGACGACCGGCAGCTGCCGCGCTGCCGCGCAAGAAGTGCCTCTGCACCCGGCACGCGGCCCGCCGTGTGCCGCGCCCCGCGGGGGTCCCGCTGGCAGCCAGCGGGTCGCCCGCGAGGCGCCGCACGCGCCAGACGATCCGTCCTCGGAAGTGCTGCCCCGAGATCCGGGCGTGGCAATGCTGTCTTTACTGGGCGTCTCCGCCCAGCCTCGGGCCCCCCGTGGCCCTCGCGCTTTCTGCGGTGTTGCAGCCATGATTACTGTTTCCTTTTCATGAGTCACCCACTCGACAGGCTCCGCACTGCAACAGTCAGCTCAATTGGCAAGAGCACCCTGCAAACGGTGCAGATACCCTTCCGCCTCCTGCTGCGCTCGTACGCCGAGTTGCTGCCGTTCTGGACCAAAACTTCGTCTTTGCCAGCTTCCACTGCGGGGAAGGGCGAAGAGAGGGAGGACGAGGAGGACGAGGACCAGGGGGGAATCGACAGCAGCGCCCCACGTGCGGCGGTCGAGGACACGGCCGCAAGGTGCGAGCCACCCGACCTGTTCGCAGCGTCCGATCTCAGGGCCTCCGGGTGTGTGCGCGAGAGCGGGCGCGGCGCGGCCGAAAGGCGGCGGGGATGGCGGCGGTGAAGCGTGCAGGTCACGCGGGGGAGGAGGAGGAGACGCACATGCGCCACGAAAATGTGTACACTGACACCCTCCGACGAATTCTGCATGTACCTTCAGGGAGGGCGGCGGTGTCTGAAGTCGATCGCTAGCACTGGTGATTTATACACCGCCATTCCCACTGAGGCCCAGGAGCGATCCATCGGAGGGTGTCTGCATATGTATATGTATATATATATATATATATATATATATATATATATAATATATGTGAAAAGAGCGTGTTCTACGGCTGCTGGCGGAAAACCGGGGGGGGTCACTACCGGTTCGAACCCCTCCCCCCCCCCTCCCGGAAAACCGGGGGGGGTCACTACCGGTTCGAACCCTCCCCCCCCCCCCCCCAACTCATCATGAAAAGGGGGGGGGGTCACTACCGGTTCGAACCCCCCCCCCCCCCTCGAAAACCGAGTGGGGGTGCGGACAGTGGTGGGGACGGTGTTGGTGGGGACAGTGGTGAGGGGACAGCGGGACAGTGGTGGGGACAGTGGGACAGTGGGACAGTGGTGGGGACGGTAGTGGTGGGGACAGTGGTGGGGACAATGGTGGGAACAGGGGGGGACAGTGGACAGTGGTGGGACGGTGGTGGTGGGGACAGTGGTGTGGGGACAGTGGGAATGAGGTGGAAACAGTGGGATAGTGGAGGGTACAATGGTGGTGGGGACAGTGGTAAAGGCGGTGGCGAGGACGGCGGTGGGACAATGGGACAGAGGTACAGTGGGGACAGTGGTGGGGACAGTGGGGACAGTGGTGGGAACAGTGGGACAGCTCAGTGGGACAGCGGAGGAGTCAGTGGGACAGTGGGGACAGTGGGGATAGGCAGTGGTTGGGTCCGTGGAGACAGTGGGGAGAGTGGAACCGTGGTGGGAACAGTGGTGGGAACAGTGGGGACAGTGCGACAGTGGTGGGGGCACTGGTGTGGACAATAGGGACGGTGGTGGAACCAGTGGGGACAGTGGTGGTGAGGACAGTGGTGCTGGGAACAACAGTGGGGGATGTGATGCGAGCGGTGGTAGGGACCGGGAGTCGTTTGCTGGCGGTGCGTGGGGGGGGGGTCGAACCGGTAGTGACGCCCCTCCGGTTTTCGAGGGGGGGGGGGGTTCCAACCGGTAGTGACCCCCCCCGGTTTTCCGGATCCGGAGGGGGGGGGGGGAGGGGTTCGAACCGGTAGTGACCCCCCCCCGGTTTTCGAGGGGGAGGGGGGGGGGGAGGGGTTAGGGGAGGGGGGGTTTTGCCGGGGGGGAAGGGGGGGGTTCCAGCAGGGGGGGGGGGATTTTCGGAGGGGGGGGAGACCCCCGGGTTCCGGAGGAAAAGGTGGCAATTTTCCACAGTAAAGCGGCGGTGGATCACGCTCTCTCATATGTGTATATATTATATATATATATATATATATATATATATATATATGCTCGTGGCAGACTACACTGCAGCGGCAGAGAAGCTGGGAGGCGCGCCCTTCAGCCCAGAGAACCTTCCACCCCCGAAGAACTCCCACGGCCACCTACCAGACTCGCCCGCCCTGTCTGAGATCCCTGGCACAGGTGAGGACCGAGCGCTGCCCCGCAGTCGTCCAGCCTTCCAGACCGAGCCAGCGCGCGTCCAGAAGGAGCGGCTCGGCAAGGGGCCAAGCTCGATTCGACCAGCAGCGGGCTCCTGCTAATGTACAGGGTGACAGCAAGGTTGCTGCTGGCCAACCACCGAGAGAGCAGCGCGAACTCTGCACAGAAGTCTCAGGGCAAGCGGGCAGACCCTGCAACCGGCGGGCGCGAGCCCACTGCGAAGCAAACGGAACACGCACTGTCCGATCGGCGTCGCACTCTGACTACCTACCAGACCACCCCAACCCAACCCGAAGACCCGAATGTCGGGTTGGGGGGGGTATGGGTTCCATACGTGTTTTTTCGATGTTCCCCGACCCCCCCCACTGGAAATGGAGGGTAAATTGAGGCCTTCGGGTTGGGTTGGGGTGGTTTGGTGGGTGGTGACACTCTGGGCCCGTGGCCCGTCACAATTTTCCACGGCAGGTGGTTCGCGTGAACACATCAGGTGCTTGCAAGAGAGCAGGTGCAAGCGCGTCGTGAAACAATTCAGGAAGGGCGTGGGTGTTCGCCTCTCGGGGCCCCGGGACCGTCAAAAAACTACTCATACGGAAAACCCGGTCCCTGGGAAGCGGTCTGGACGCTCGGTTTCCACTCGGCGCGCACCAAAAAAATAAGAACCTGCGGGGCAGGTGTTCCGGCATCTTCACCAGACCCCTCGAGATGGCAAGCTCATGCCTGCAAGGAGCGCCGAACATGGATCAGCATGCAGCATGCGCGTGATCCGCAAAATGGCGAGTGGTTGGGCTTCCGCCTCTAAAGCAAGCTCGCGCATACTGCGGGCAGCAGGCCGCCGAAGCGCCTGCGCCCCAGAAGGAGGTGGAGAAAGGGTTCGCGGGAGCTGGAGATGTCGAGCAAACGATGTGTGCGTGTGTGTGTGTGTGTGCGTGTGTGCGTGCGTGCGTGCGTGCGTGCGTGCGTACGTGCGTACGTGCGTGCGTGTGTGTGTGTGTGTGTGCGTGTGTGTGTGCGTGTGCATGTACGCGTGTGCACGTGTGTGTGTGTGTGTGCGTGCGTGTGTGTGTGTGTGTGTGTCTGTGTCTGTGTCTGTGTCTGTGTCTGTGTCTGTGTCTGTGTCCGTGTCTGTGTCTGCGTCTGCGTCTGTGTCTGTGTCTGCGTCTGCGTCTGTGTCTCTGTTTGTGTTTGTGTTTGTGCCTGTGTCTGTGTCTGTGTCTGCGTCTGTGTCTGTGTCTGTGTCTGCGTCCGTAAGGCCTCTCCAATCCTCATGGGTACTCTGGCCCGCTGGTAGAGGGTGCAGCGATTCAGAGTCTTGGAGTCCCTGCTTGTGAGAAGTGCTGGTGCCATTGACGAGGCAGCGAATGCGGCAGTAAAAACATGCATTTGAGCACACACTCTGGGAAACAGGCACGACCACAAACGCACGAGATTCACCAACTGCCACGCGCACAGAGCTTGCACGTGATGCCGTTCTGACAAGAACGGGGCCCGACAGATGAGAACGGGCCATCCATCAGAGTCGTCAGCATAGCCATTCTCTGTTTCTTGCAGGAGGGAGCGGGAACTTCCATGATGCCTTGACACGTTGGGCACGAGCAACAAATCGTGACATTTGCCGAAGGCGGCGGTGATCACCTTGACGCGATTGTGCTAGCTCGTGCGTGAGAGAGGCGTGAGAAGCCCCGCCGCCTTCTGAGAAGGCCTGCCACCTCTCACTTCACTCCCCAGGCTCGCCGCCAAAAAATATTCATGTTGGCGAGCGGCGTGCCGTAACTTGCCTAGACCTCTGGTGGGCCTTGGCGCCATTCCATCGAGCCATGAGCTAGACTGCTGAAAAACTCAAGGCGGACGCTTGACACGCAGTCGTCAAAACGGCGACAGTCCGTTTGCAAGGGACCACGTCCGCCCTGACCATGTCGTGGTACAGCTCCACGGCGTGTTTGGTGCGCTGGAGGCCGATGCAAGAGTAGATTACATTGTGGTAATCTTGCCGGTCGGGCTTGAAGCCCAACTCCCGCATAGTCTCAAAGAATGCAACGGCCTCCTCGAAGTTCTTGTTCTGTGCGCTGACGTTGAGCATGATGCGGTAGGTCTTGACATCGGGGATCAGTCCGTGGTTGGCCATCTGCTCGAAGAGCACACCCGCTTCGTCGTACATGCCAAGCTGGCAGCAAGAACCCAACACTGCATTGTACGCCACCTTGTCAGGCTGAATTCCCAAACTCTGCAACTCGTCACACAGCTTCAACACCAATGCTGGATCCGACCGCTCACTGGAAATGATAATGCAGAAGTATGATAGCCGGCTGAGTAACTGACCCGCGCTCCTCATCCTCAGGAGATAATTCACAACGGTCTTTGGAGGTCTGCTTTTCCACGCGACCATCAAATGATTCTGAATTCTCGTCGACGGCGCCAGCCCGTGAGCTTCAACGACCTTGAAAAGTGAGAGCCCATCTCTCCGCAAGCGTGCGGCATCGAGGTTCTCTGCGACCAAATTGAAGAACCTGTCGACGATGGACTTGCCAATGAGGTGTGCGTCGTGACCGACACCGTCCTCCAACATCTGGTCAAACAGCTTCAATGCTGGTTCCACCCGTCGGCGCATGATACAAGACTTCATCACTCCCTCGAAGGTTGAAACCGTGGGGGCGATACCCTCTGTGTGAGAGCGGCCGATGGCGCACATGCCAGTCCGCAATCGCCAGGTAGGTTCAACTTGGTCCCCTGATTCTTCGAGGCTGGTATTGCAAAGCTCCTTGGGCGACATGTCGTCTCCAGCGGGGGGCGCAGGGCTTGGCTTGCGCCCAGCATCGAACGCCACCTTGTCGATCACTGGATTCGTGATACTCACTTTTCTCACGTTGGAAGTCCATCCTGCGCAATGTGAGAAGAGGAAGCAGGCCAGAACAACAACCTCTGGAAGGAACTCAATCTCAAGCCCCATGTCGAACACACTGCAAAATAGAGTAAGCACCACCTGGCTCAGCGCGGAGAAAGCTGCACTGAGTAGGACGATATGCAAGACAGGCTTGCGGCAAGCACGCCCCGCCGAACCCTTCTGCGCGGTCCGTTGCATCATCACGGGCAACATGTTGATTTGGCCTCCTCGATCCTGGGTCAAGAGTGTTTATGTAAAGTGCCTGACAAGCACCGATTGTGATAAAACGTCTTGGCTTAAAAAAAGATACGGACCAACACGGAGCTTGCGCGTCTGGTAAGGTCCTGTCGCGTCTTGTCATTTCTCGACTATCTCATCTTGTCTGGCCCTGTATTGCCTTGCCTGGTCGTCTGAGACTATCTTGCGCCGTCATTGAAGGCATGGCACACCGATCTCCTCGACTCCGGCGACAGGAGGAGCACGCCCGCATTCTTAGGGAAAGTCCACCCCTTGGACTGGACCGGGGGGGAGAGCGAGGGCTTAGAGCGCCATGGCCCGATAGCCCGAGATGGCCTTCAAGATGGCGTAAGATGGCCCAAGATGGCCTCCAGCATTCTTCTAGACAGCCCCCAGTAGCCATTGAGCCGCCCAAGGATGCCCCCAACATGCAATGAACCCGGCGCGACCCCAATCAGGGCAAAGTTTCCTACTGCATGTGCGCAGTGCTTGGCACTGTTTGGCATTGCTTGTCATTGCTTCGCATTGCTCGGCATCCCTTGGAGCATTGCTTGGCATTGCTTGGGGCATTGCTTGGGGCATTGCTTGGGGCATTGCTTGGGGCATTGCTGCGCATTGTTTGACGTTGCTTCGCATTGCGTGGCATTGCTTCGAATTGCTTTGCATTCCTTGGCATTGCTTGGGGAGGCCGGGAAGACCGATGAACCCGAGGAGCCCGGGGAACCCGAGGAACCTGGAGAACGCAAAGAACCCGAAGAACCCGAGGAACCCCAGGAACCCGAGGAATCCCAGGAACCCGGGGAACCCAGGGATCCCGAGGAACCCGAGGAACCCGAGGAACCCGAGGAACCCGAAGAACCCTGGGAACCCAGGGAACCTCCGAGAAACGGGCAACACAAGAATCGAAGGCACCGAGGGCGAAGAACCGGGGGAACCCGTGCATGGGCGGCGGCCAGCGCGCGGGCGCTGGCTCGGCGGCTCCGCCGACGGCGGCGGGCTGAGCTGGGCTGTGCGCGGGCCGAGGCGCCCGCCCTGCGCATGAAGACTCTCCGGTGCTCGGTCGCGGAGCACCGGCGCCGGAGCGACCGGTTGGATTGCCACTTCTCGACCTCGGGAGAGGTGGCGGCGGCTGCGCGGCTGCTGGGCGACCGGGGCGTCATGGTCGACGCGGAGAGGAGGCGAGGGTCACGGGCAACTGGGCGAGGCATCGTGCACCCCCTGGCCTGGAGCAGCAGGGACCCCGCCCTTGCCCAGCGGCAGTCTGGGCATAGGACTACGAGGAGCTCCACATCGGCCTCTTCAGCGGCGCCTTCGGGACGACGGAGGCGCTTCTTGAGGCTCTGGAGGGCGAGGGGGACAGGGAGGTGCGGAACTACGACCCTATCCAGTTCGACGACGACGTGGCGCTCTTCAAGGAAAAGGGCGAGTACGGCAACAGCATCGGGATGGACGGGAGCACACATGAGGAGCTGGAGGCCGACGACTTCGTGCGGGACTCCGCGGGCCTGTGCGAAGGCATCGGTGAGGTGCCGACGGTCGACGTAGAGCCTTTAGTCGAGGCAAGCTCCGACGTCATCTTCGGTGTCATGCAGGAGGACAAGATTACGCTGCCGAGGAACCCCACATACTTATATTATGGCTGGAGTGATGATAGCTGAAGTGAAGCATGTAAGAATGATGTTGGTGGCCGTCGCCACCCCCTGCGCACTCCCTATTTTGTCCAGAAAGTGCCACGCCTGCTATGCCCTGGACGGCCGTCGTGCATAGCGGCCGCGGTGAGGGACCACCCCCTGCGCACCCCCTATGGTGTCGAGAAAGTGCCACACCTGCTATGCCCTGGACGACCGTCGTGCATAGCGGCCGCGGTGAGGGACCAACCCCTGCGCACCCCCTATGGTGTCGAGAAAGTGCCACACCTGCTATGCCCTGGACGACCGTCTCGAATAGCGGCCGCGCTCGGGGACCACCCCCTGCGCACCCCCTATGGAATCGAGAAAGTGCCACGCCTACTATGCCCTGGACGACCGTCTCGGATAGCGGCCGCGCTCAGGGACCACCCCCTGCGCACCCCCTATGGAATCGAGAAAGTGCCACGCCTACTATGCCCTGGACGACCGTCTCGGATAGCGGCCGCGCTCAGGGACCACCCCCTGCGCACCCCCTATGGTGTCGAGAAAGTGCCACGCCTGCTATGCCCTGGACGACCGTCTCGGATAGCGGCCGCGCTCAGGGACCACCCCCTGCGCACCCCCTAAGTGTCGAGAAAGTGCCACGCCTGCTCTGCCCTGGACGACCGGCGCGGATAGGGGGACCACCCCGTGCGCACCCCCTATGGTATCGAGAAACTGCCACGCCTGCTACGGCCTGGACGACCGGCGCGGATAGGGGGACCACCCCGTGCGCACCCCTATCGAGAAACTGCCACGCCTGCTACGGCCTGGACGACCGGCGCGGATAGGGGGACCACCCCTGCGCACCCCCTATGGTGTCGAGAAACTGCCACGCCTGCTACGGCCTGGACGACCGGCGCGGATAGGGGGACCACCCCTGCGCACCCCCTATGGTGTCGAGAAACTGCCACGCCTGCTACGGCCTGGACGACCGGCGCGGATAGGGGGGGATCTGCCACGCCTGCTTACGCCGGGCGGATAAACGCCCTGGCTACGACCGGCGCTAGGGGGACCACCCCCCCCTATGGTGTCGAGAAACTGCCACGCCTGCTACGGCCTGGACGACCGGCGCGGATAGGGGGACCACCCCGTGCGCACCCACTATGGCGTCGAGAAACTGCCACGCCTGCTACGGCCTGGACGACCGGCGCGGATAGGGGGACCACCCCCTGCGCACCCCCTATGGTGTCGAGAAACTGCCACGCCTGCTACGGCCTGGACGACCGGCGCGGATAGGGGGACCACCCCGTGCGCACCCCTACGGCGTCGAGAAACTGCCACGCCTGCTACGGCCTGGACGACCGGCGCGGATAGGGGGACCACCCCCTGCGCACCCCCTATGGTGTCGAGAAAGTGCCACGCCTGCTACGCCTGGACGACCGGCGCGGATAGGGGGACCACCCCGTGCGCACCCCCTATGGTGTCGAGAAACTGCCACGCCTGCTACGGCCTGGACGACCGGCGCGGATAGGGGGACCACCCCTGCGCACCCCCTATGGTGTCGAGAAACTGCCACGCCTGCTACGGCCTGGACGACCGGCGCGGATAGGGGGACCACCCCGTGCGCACCCCTATGGCGTCGAGAAACTGCCACGCCTGCTACGGCCTGGACGACCGGCGCGGATAGGGGGACCACCCCCTGCGCACCCCCTATGGTGTCGAGAAAGTGCCACGCCTGCTACGGCCTGGACGACCGGCGCGGATAGGGGGACCACCCCCTGCGCACCCCCTATGGTGTCGAGAAACTGCCACGCCTGCTGCGGCCTGGACGACCGGCGCGGATAGGGGGACCACCCCGTGCGCACCCCTATGGCGTCGAGAAGTGCCACGCCTGCTACGGCCTGGACGACCGGCGCGGATAGGGGGACCACCCCCTGCGCACCCCCTATGGTGTCTGCCACGCCCTGCGGCCTGGACGACCGGCGCGGATAGGGGGACCACCCCGTGCGCTCCCACTATGGCGTCGAGAAACTGCCACGCCTGCTACGGCCTGGACGACCGGCGCGGATAGGGGGCCACCCCCTGCGCACCCCCTATGGTATCGAGAAAGTGCCACGCCTGCTACGGCCTGGACGACCGAGCTGAGCTGTGCTGTGCTGAGCTGAGCTGAGCTGTGCTGAGCTGTGCTGAGCAGTGCTGTGCTGTGCTGTGCTGTGCTGTGATGTGCTGTGCTGTGCCGAGCTGTGCTGTGCTGTGCTGAGCTGAGCTGAGCTGAGCTGTGCTGAGCTATGCTGAGCAGTGCTGTGCTGTGCTGTGCTGTGCTGTGCTGAGCTGAGCTGAGCTATGCTGAGCTGAGCTGAGCTGAGCTGTGCTGAGCTATGCTGAGCAGTGCTGTGCTGTGCTGTGCTGTGCGAGAAGGAGAAGGGGAGGGGGGAGGTGTGAGACGCAGGTGCGGCGCGGCAGGGAAGAAAACCAGAACCCCACGAAACATGTGGGGAATAACCAACCAGAAGCAGGAGCTGGAGGTCGAGGAGTCCTTGGACAAGGACGTCGACACACCCGACGCTCTTGGCGGCGAGCTGGACGGGCGCGAGATTGACGTGCTCTTCGACTGCCTGGCCGAGATGGGGGTTCAGGCGGACCGCGAAGTCCTCCAGAGGGCTACGGAGGAGCACATCGCGGAGATCGAGGCGCTCCACGCTGACTTCGTCCGCCCGCAGGTCGAGTGCGGAGGCGGCCAGACGCAGGAGCTGGAGGGCAAGGCATTCGCCAAGGATCACGACGTCAACACGGCCGTGGAGTTCGGCAACGAGCTGGACCAAGGCGAGATTGACGGGCTCGTGGAGTGCCTGACCGAGATGGGAGTGCATGCGGGCCGAGAAGTCCTCAAGTGGGCTTCTCAGGAGCAGTGCGAGGAGATCAAGACGCTCCACACCGACTGCGTTCGTCCTGGAGCTGATGGTACAGAGCCTCGCCATTCCGAGTCCGCTCAGGCGTCCACCAGCAAGTCGGCGCGCAGGCGAGCGAGGAAAGAGCAGGTTCAACGGCAAGCGCAGATGCTGAGCAGGATTGGATTCAGCACAACATCGCGCGGAAAGACGAGTGGGAGCAGGCCTGGAGCTTGCACATGGACCCCGAGCGTGGCTTCCTTGCGCAGCTTCGCAAGGAGAGTGCGCGAGCCGCACGGGCGTAGCGGAAGCGGAGCGGCCGAGCAAGCGCGGCCGCGGAACGGCCGCGGAGTGGGACGAGCGGGCGGGGCCGCGCGTCGGCGGCTGCTGGTGCGGTGACGCTCGGGGGTCGGCCCTCCGCGGCCTGCAGGGGGCTCGTGCTCCCCCATGCGTGGCGCGAGGGTGAGCCCGCAGGTGGCGCCTGCACCAGCGATCGGCGGCTGCGCGGGCGAGGACCCGCCCTTTCTCTTTTATCTTTTCTCTCTTCCTCAGTGGCGTGCGCTCCTCCTCCTCCTCCTCCTCCTCCTCCTCATCATCATCCTCCTCCTCCTCCTCCTCCTCCTCCTCCTCCTCCTCCTCCTCCTCCTCCTCCTCCTCCTCCTCCTCCTCCTCCTCTTCCTCCTCTTCCTCCTCCTCGCCGACCTTGGCGACCGAGGGCCTTGAGCGTACCCTGGCTATTAGGCGGGTGAGGTTTCGGACGGAGGAGGAGCAGTGGGATTCGGACCTGTCGGATGCGTGCAGGCTGGCCAGGGCCGCGCGTCCCCGGGGCTCCGAGGAGCCCAGGCCCCCTCCTCCCCTCCCTGCCTCTTCAAGGCGGAGGCGCGACCTCTCGGAGGAAGGGCCCCCTGTGGGGCCGCGCCCAAGACCCCCAGGCTCCTGGCCCCTGGCGGCGCCGCTGGCACCGAGCCTCCGCTCCCTGTTGGCTTTGGCGGGCCTCCGCCCGCCAAGAGACCCAGGACCTCTGCGAGTCCACGGCGCGCCGACTCCTGGACTGCGAAAGAGGCCGTCCTCCCTGATGTCCCCCTTCCCGCTCAGGGCCCTGTAGGGCCCAGTAGCGCTCGGGGAGACCAGAGCAGTCTTGCTGGAGCTACCCTTGCATTCTGCCATCGGTGTGGGGCCAGGGCCAAGCCGTCGGCCCCCCGCTCGCGTCTTTGGGGCCGGTGCGAGGGTATTGCATCCAGTAAAGACTCAACTTATTAAAGTCCCTCGAGGTAGGTAAGGACCCCATCTCGGGAGAGTGGAGGGGTGACCTCCGTCCCCTCTTGCCCTCAGATGATGCCTGTTTCTGGCTTCGTCTGAGGTAGCTTGAGCCCGCTCTCGCTTGCTCAAGTTCCTTTTTCTTTCTCTGTAATCGTAGTGTTGCGCGTGCTCGTCCTTTTTCCTGCTCGTGCCCTTTGCCGGTCCGTTGCTCTGCGCACTCTTCTCGATGTGGTCGGGCCTCTTCCTCCTCCTCCTCCTCCTCCTCCTCCTCCTCCTCCTCCTCCTCCTCCTCCTCCTCCTCCTCCTCCACCCTCCTCCGCGGTCGGCCGTAGTCGCCTGTCGGTGTCTGCCGTCGGTCGCCCGTCGTTGCCCGGCGGCCCGTCGTCGTCCGTCGACCCGTCGGCCCGTCGCCGTCGGCGTCGTCGGTGCCGTCGACCCCGTCGACGCGTCGCCGTCGATGCCGTCGGCGCCGTATCGGCGCCCCGCCTGCGGCGGCTTCCTTGGGAAGCGCGGCGGCCGCGCCGCTTGCCAGCGCTGGTCCGCGCGCGCCGCGCGGGGCACCGGCGGCAGCGCCTTCACGGGCCCCCTGGCGGGCGGGCGGGCGGGCGAAGCCCCGGGCAGGCCTCACGAGCGGCAGGCGTATACATATCCGCGCCCTCGCGACCCGCGATCCCGCGGATACGCGGTCGCACGGGTGCGTTCCGCGCGGGGCAGCCGCGAAAAAAGCCCCGTGTCCGCGGGGTCGCGGCCCAGGGGCCCAGCCGGCGAAGCCGTGGACACGGATACGCTTTTCGCCCGCGAACGCCACCGGGAATGCCCCAGGAGGCACCAGGTGAGCGAACTAAGATATTATGCACGTGTGGGCTCACCGCGGTCCTGCGTGCACGAGTCTGTCAGCGTTCAAACGCAATCCCGCGGAAGCTGACCGCGTACCAAATGTCGTTGGCCTCTGACCAGGAAGGCCCCTGGGGGCCTGAGGCGCCCTGAGAATGCCTGAGGCCTGGGAGGGGCAAAGATACGGGGGGCCGACTGGCTCGGGGTGCGGGAAAAGGGGCACACCGGCCTGGAATCGGCGACACGTTGCCGATAGATCGGCGGCGACAGGCCCCCGACAACGAGTCCGCACGCTCCTGGGCGGAGGTGGGGCTATCGGGCTCCTATCGGCGATCAATGGGCGATTGGGGGCCGATGCGCCCCCCCCCCCTGAGCTTTTTCTCCCCTCACGCTGCCTCTGACCTCTTCGACGCCCGCTGATTTTCGGGTCATAGCTCGGGCCTCCAGCGGCTGTTCGGGACGATCTGGGCACCCAGGAATGCTCCCAGTGAGGCACAGCCGCCAGAAGGCATCCTGAGACTGGACAACCGCCGAGAACCGACGAAAACGCCCGAAAACCTCGAACCTCGGATCCGAGAAAGTCGCTCCCCCCTGTGCCAATCCCCCCCTCAAACGCTGCCCCTGAGCCTGAGGACATGTCCCAGGGCGCCCTCGGGCCCAGCGCGCCTCGCGAGGCCCATCCAGGTGGTCCCCCCGCGGGCCCGGTAAAAAAATTATCCCAGTGCGACCCTACCTAGGAGTTGGAGCCCCTAGGAAAGCAGCATTAGTAGTAACAGTAAAGCTAAGCTAAAGCTAAGAAAAAGCTAAGCTAAAGCTAAGCTAAAGCTAAGCTAAGGCTAATATAAAGCTAAGCTAAAGCTAAGCTAAAGCTAAGATAAAGCTAAGCTAAAGCTAAGCTAACATTAAGCTAACGCTAAGCTAGAGCTGCGCTAAAGCTAAGCTAGAGCTAAGCTGAAGCTAAGCTAACGCTAAGCTAGAGCTAAGCTAAAGCTAAGCTAAAACTGAGCTGAAGCTAAGCTAGAGCAAAGCTGGAGCTAAGCTAGAGCTAAGCTGAAGCTAAGCTAGAGCTAAGCTGAAGCTAAGCTAGAGCTAAGCTGAAGCTAAGCTAGAGCTAAGCTGAAGCTAAGCTGAAGCTAAGCTAAAGCTAAGCTAAAGCTAAGCTGAAGCTAAGCTAAAGCTAAGCTAAAGCTAAGCTAAAGCTAAGCTAAAACTAAACTAAAGCTAAGCTCAAGCTAAGCTAAAGCTAAGCTGAAGCTAAGCTAAGCTGGGTGAACCCAGGGGGCGCAACTGGGGAAACCGCGGGGCGGGGACTGGGGGAACCGTCCGGGGCGATTTCCACTGCCCGGCCCCTGCAAGCTAAGAGAGTAAGAACCCTTCTAGGCAGAGCCTAGGTAGGGAACAACAGCAACTCAAAAACAGCCCCGGGGACGAAAAAAACCTCAAAAACGAAAAAAAGCATGATCGAACAATGCACGCAAACACTACACAAAACACACGACGCAGCCCACGCAAAAAAAAATCAGCACCAAAACCCCCGGAGATGCCCCAAAGGGGAGGGGGGGGGTTAGAGGCCTGGAAAGACTCACCAACACCAGCACAGGGGGCGGGGGGGGGGGGGCTTTCCGCCTGGGGAGACTGATCCGCCCGGAGGGCGCAGGCCGCGCCCTCGGAGGTGCCCCCCCCCCCCCGACGGGCGCGGTCTGCGCCATGCCGGCAGGGGGCCAGCGCGGCGGAGAGCACGAGGCCGCTCTGCCGCAGCAAGGCGAGGGGCTCGTCGTCGCCTCCTGTTGGCCCCTCCTCTTCGCCCTTCTGACAGGGGATGTGTCGACCCCCATCCCAGCCTTCCTGGGTTTTCGAACTGCGGACCAAAAAGTAAGGGCCCAACCCTGGGACAAACGATGGGGGGGCAGCCATCCTCGATAGAGGTGCGCCCGAATAGCAGCCCCCTTTCTCTGAGCAGCCAAACTTTTCGGACGGAATTCGGGCAGTGGGGGAGAAAATCGCCTGCGACCCTCCTCTTCCCTCACTCCCGTTCAACGCACTCGTGCACCCACTCAACCCTCGTGTGGAGGCAGCCACCGATCTCGGTGTCGGTGCCAACGTCTGGGCCTCGGGGGGCGAGGCACCTCGGGAGCGGCAGGCCCGTGCCGTCACGACCCCAGCGGTGGCTTCTGACACCGCGCGGATCGTTCGAGCCTGAGCGATCGGCGGCTTTTCGGTCGCCACATCTTTCCATATCGGCCGATTCTGGGCCACCCAGGAGAGCCCAGAATCGAATCGACAAATCGAATCGGCGATCGAAATTAATCGGATCGGCGGGAATCGGTAGCCGAGTCGGGAGAAGTCGAATCGGCGGAAATCGGCAGGCTGGTACGCGTCCAATAAAAATCGGAAGCCAAATCGGAATCCCAAGTCGAATTGAATCGGGATCGGAAGCCATCGAAGTCGAATCGCATCGAATCGGAGGAATCGAAACGATGCCCTGGGCCACTGGCGGCGTTCAACCTTGAACGCCCGCGCTGGGGTCGCCGCCGCGTCGACGCGACACGAACCTACCGCGAGGGAGGGTAAGGGGGGGTCCTCCCTGGCCGGCCTCCTCGTCCTCCCCCCGGCGCTCCTCCTCCTCCTCCCAGCCCGCCCGACGAGTACGAGGGCGCATTGCAGATGGTTTGGAAGGACCGATCGCAAGAGACTGGACTGACTACCTACCAAACCACCCCAACCCAACCCGAAGACCAAGATTTCGCCCGAATTTCGGGTTTGGGGGGGTACGGGCTTCATATGTGCTTTGTTCAATGTTCCCCGACCTCGTCCACTGGAAATGGAGGGCATGTCGGAGCCTTCGGGTTGAGTTGGGTGGTTTGGTGGGCGGTGATGGACGGATCAACGAGAGTGATCGACTGTAAACTTTCCTGTCCGCCTGAGGCCCACCATCGAACATCAGCGCATCCTGCGGATCCCAGGGTGCACGACAGCGCCATGCAAGCACCGGGCCGCATCGGATCGAATCGGGAATAGCCGGATCGAATCGGACTGAGCCGCCCGGAATCGAGACAGAATCGGATCGACCAGATCGAAGACCTCGGCTCTCGGGTCAAACCTGGGTCTCTGGCGACCGTTTGGTACGATTCGAGAACCACCGGGAACGCTCTCGACAAGGCGCAGCCGCTGGGCGGCATCCCGCGGCCAGAGGGCCGCCGAGAGCCGACTAAAGTCTCCAAAAACATCGAACCTCCAAGGATCTTTCGGCGCCCCAAGGGCACCCAAGGGCACCCAACATCGAACATCGAACCTCCAAGAACCTTGGCGTCCTGGGCACCCCAAGGATCTTTCCGCGCCCGCCTGGCGAGCTGCGGGAGGCAGGCCAGCGGCGCGTCCCCCACGCGCTGCATCGCCCGCCCAGCGCGCAGGCAAGCGCGGGGCGCGGGGGGGCTGTGGGAGCGGAGGCACGTTGGGGGGGGAAGGGGGGAGAGGGCGGGAGGGAGGGGGAGGAGGAGGAGGAGGAGGAGCAGGAGGAGGAGGAGGAGGAGGACCAGTGTAAACCCAAGAGCCATCAACGATGTTGGAATACACCCTCCCTCCAAGCTCCCTCTTCATAGGCTTCTGCAACGGCTCATTTCCATTGAGGGATCTGCCTCGTTGGAAGACAACCGTTTGAAGACCCAGCAACATGCCAAAACATCTGGTTCGGAATTCCGACGCCACGGATCAGCCTTACTGTTGCGACTTGACGATCCTGGATCGTGCCAGAACGCCATTCTTCGGACTTCAACACCGCGAATCAACGTAATTGGTGCACCCGCAAAAGTCTACATCTTTCCAAGACACCATTTCTGGTACGTTGATCGTGGGAACCCGTGAAACTCTTGCAAAGTTTATGAACTGATGTGCGCGGCGCTCAGGCGAGAACTACATTTTGAAATCGGATGATCCTTAATCCGTGAAGCTCTTGCAAATTTCTGAAACGAAAACGCGCGGCGCTAAGGCGAGAGCCACATTTCGAAAACGGGTTATCCTCACTCCGTGAGACTCTTGCAAATATTTAAAACGAATATGCGCGGCGCTAAGGCGAGAACCACATGTTGGAAACCACCCGCCCCCCATCTGTGAAGCTGTTGCCAACTTTTAAAATTCAGAATCATAATGGTTAGGAAATCTCAGGCGGAACGCCCGGCCCGCCCTAAAATCTGGCCTCGGGGTGCGACAGTGAGAAGTTATTTAGAAGGAAAAGGAATAGAGGACGGGGAGGAGGGAAGAGAGGAGGGGGGGAGGCACGGCTGTCCAGGTCCATACCCGCTCCGTCTCAAATTCCCAGGCTCCCGGCACGCGGCGGACGTGGACAGAAGTATGGCCTCTGGCAAGGCCAGACGTTTATGCAGATGCACTGCGCCTCGAGTCTCGGCACCCCTTCCAACAAAAAAAAGCCGCGGCCGCCGCCGCCACCGCCGCCGCCGCCGCCGCCGCCGCCGCCGTCGTCGTCGTCGTCGTCGTCGTCGTCGTCGTCGTCGTCGTCGTCGTCGTCGTCGTCGTCGTCGTCGTCGTCGTCGTCGTCGTCTTCAGCCCAACGCGCCGGCCACCCGGAAGGGACCGCAAACTGCACATGTCAATGCCTTTCACGCCCAAGATGGCCCCGAATGGACTCCGAGATGCCCCCAAGACGGTCAAGATGGCCCAAGATGGCCTCCAAGTCCGCCGAAGATGGTCCAACATGGCCTCCAAGACGGCCCAAGAGGGTCCAACATGCCTCCAAGT